AGCACCCAGGCCCAGAGTTCAGGCCCCACGACCGGACCCCCCCCCCCAAAAAAAGAAATCTAACTATAGAACTTTGCAAGGAAAATACTTTATGTGTGTGTGTGTGTGTGTGTGTGTGTGTATTGTAAAAATGTTGTACAGAGGGATTACAGTTACATGAGTAGGGTAATGAGTACATTTCATAGTGAGCATTGTTACCCCCTCCTTTGTTTTCCCTCTACCATCACTTCCCTCCCCACCTCTCCAACGCCTCCCTGCCACTCAACATTGTAAAGTTTGTTTTCAACATAGTATCCTGTACATGTCATTGACACAATGGGTGAACCTGCATCCCCATTTAAGTGTTCTACAATATCCCTTCCCCTCTCTAAATTACAAAAATGTATATACAAGATGCAGGACACTAGCATCAAATTGAATGAAAACAGGGATTATATAGTGGGGGAAGAATATACAGAAGAATCATATAGTGCATTATAAGTACATTAAAAACACTAACAAGAAAGAAAAAACCACTTGTGTCCCTGTCTTGGGGTAAATTTTGCTTAACATCTCATGTGGTCATATGTACATAGCCTTTGACCTTCTCTGCTTGTCCTCGACATGTACTAGTCATTGCAAACAAGGGAAACCATAGTACCTATGTTTCTTTGGGCCTGGCTTCATTTAATATAATTTTTCCAAGTCTTTCCATTTCCTATCAAATGATGCAATGTCATTCTTTTTGACAGAGGCAGACAGATCCATTCATCTACTGAGGGGCATCTGGGTTGGTTCCATATCTTAGCTATGGTGAATATTGCTGGGATATAAACATGGTTGTGCTGGTAGCTTTGATATGACCTTGTTTGTGATAGTTTGGGTAAATGCCCAAAAGTGGGATTGCTGGGTCATAAGGGAGCTCTATGTGGAGTCTTTTGAGGAACCTCCATACTGCTTTCCAGAGTGGTTGAACAAGTTTATACCCCACCAACAATGCAGTAGGGTTCCCTTTTGGTCACATCCCCTCCAGCATCTGTTGTTACTAGATTTCTTGATTATAGCCATTCTAAATAGGGTGAGGTAGAATCTCAATGTTGTCTTGATTTGCATTTCTTTTATGGCTAGAGAAGTTGAGCATTTTTCATGTGTCTATTGGCCATTCTTATTTCCTCCTCAGGGAAGTCTCTAAGTCTTTAGCCCATTTATTAATTGGGCAATTGTTTCTTTGAGGATTTGTTGTTGGGGGATTTAGTTTTTTGAGTTCTAAGTATGTTTTAGATATGAGACTCTTGTCCATTGTATGGCTAGTGAAGATCTTCCAGTCTGTGGGCTTTCTATTGATCTTTCTAGCTATGTCCTTTGCCTTGCAGAAACTCTGCAGTTTCATGCAATCCCATTTGTCCAACTTTTCTTTGATTTGTTGTGCTTCTGGGTCTCTATTAAGAAAATTTCAGGGGCTGGGAAGGTGGCTTTGTGGTAGAGCGCTTGCCTTGCATGCATGAGGCCCTGCGTTCGATTCCTCAGCACCACATAAGCAAAAAGAAAAAGGCCAGAAGTGGCGCTATGGCTCAAGTGGTAGAGTGCTAGCCTTGAGCTGAAGAGCTGAGGGATAGCGCCCAGGCCCAGAGTTCAGGCCCCACAACCAGACCCCCCCTTCCCCTGCCCCCCAAAAAGAAAATTTCCGTCTGTGCTATGGAGCCCTAGAGTTTCTTCCATTCCTTCCTGTAATGTTTTCAGGGTGTCTGCTTTTATTTTGAGGTCTTTGATCCATTTGGAGTTGATTCTGGTACAGGGTGATATATACGGATCTAGCTTTAGTTATCTACAAGTATTTAACCAATTTTGCCAGCACCATTTACTGAAAAGGCTGTCTTTCTTCCATTCTATTTTTTTAGCTCCCTTATCTAAGATTAGGAGGCTATAGGTCTGTGGGTTCATTTCCAGATTTTCAATTCTATTCCATTGTTCCTCAGGTGTGTTCTTGTGCCAGTACCAAGCTGTTTTGATTACTATGGATTTGTAGTAGAGTTGGAAATTTGGAATTGAGATTCCTCCAGTGCTGTTCTTTCTACTAAGGACTGAAAGAAAGATATTTCTTATACCTGACTTTTATCTACTTTTCATAGGGTTTGACTTCTAAAGACAGTATCTCTCTAGCCAGGCATGATAGCTCATACCTGTAATTCCAGAGTCAAAGATACTTATAATTTCTTAAAAGAATTTAATATGATCAAATCTTAGAAGTTTAAACTCTTCATGAACATATGGCTATATACAGGATACTGGTGTTGATCAATGCATTTGTGTGATAGCTTCATGACAATGGTATCTACATGTGATAGCTACAGATAATGGATATGTTTGGAGTTAAATGCTTTTATTAATTTATTTCATTAATTAAAATGTTATTAAGTTTCTAATGAAGTTCTGTATCTTTAATGTCTGTGAGGACTAAGTATTATGTGTATCAATCTCTAATTCAAAGTTTTGTTATGTACAATGAAGTGTAAGTAATGTAAGTCCCGTGTTGGTTTATCTTAATTTTCTCTTTTTCCTTCCAGAAAGCACAAACATGTCAACAGAGACTTGATAGGGAAATTTCCAGCTTTCTTAAAATGATTAAGGAATGTGACATGGCTAAAGGTAAAGGAAAACAAGATCCACTCTTTTAACCTAATCCTTCCTTGTGGGTGGTAGACTTTGTGTTATTTTGACTGGATATTCTAGGAAATTTTTGGCTTTTACTTAATAGTGGATGAAACAGTTTTGAAATTTATAAAAGGCTATTAGAAACTTTCTTTTCCCAAAAGATGTCTCCTTTGTTAATTAGTGTTGTTATTCTTTTAAGAAAAATAAAAAATTAATGTTAGTATTTGGTGATAGTAACTTCATTTGATCTGCATAATGGGAATTCTCCTTATGGGTCCTATAAGGCTAGGGAGTCAGAATGAATCCTTGCTCTGCCACTCGTAAGTGTTACTTTGAATAGTACCTCTGAGCCTCAGTTTTCTTGGTAGTGGTTGTTTTTCCTGCACTGGCCTTTTGTGATTCTGGAAATGTATATGGGAACTTATCTATTAATTTTTAGTAGTAATTTACTATATTTTCAATTTACATTATTATGGTATTATTTTTTTTTCTGGTCCTGGGGACCCAACTGCAAGATTGGGTACTGTACCTGAGCTCCTTTTTGCTCAAGGCTAGTGCTTTACCACTTGAGCCACAGAGCCATTTCTGGCTTTTTCTGTGAATAATTGGCGATACCATGAACTCCAACTTATGGAAACAAGAGGTTCTCATTAGACCTTGTATATAGTTTCTTTTCTCTATTGTTTTTTTTCTTCATTTCTCTTAGTTTTTTGGTACCTCGTGTTTTGCACAAAAGACAATGCAATATGTGAAAGAGAAAGGGAATCAACAGAAACAGCAGAACAATGGATGAACCACAGCAACATTGATACTTACTTGACACTATGTTAGATATGACCATTACAACTTGGGGAGGCGAGCAGGGAGGGATAAATGGGAGATAAAGATGGATGGGGTAATAATGATTAAAAACAAATGTATTTATTGCCTTATCTGTATAACTGTAACCCCCCTGCTCAACACCTTAAAAAAAAAGTCTTCTTCATGGACTTTCCTACCCAGGCAGGCTTTGCACCAAGAGCTTCAGACCTCAGTCTTCTGAGTAGCTAGGATTACAGGTATGAACTACTGATGCCTGATTCAATTTACATTTTTCCTGAATTACCAAGAGTTGATATATCTAACAATCAAGTTGAAGTACTAAGAAAAAAATTTAGTCCTCTAAATTATAGAAATTACACTGTTTCTCAGACTTTGAACTCCTGACAGTTGGCTTTAGACTTTGGAAGTGATGTGCCTACAAATTATTCCATTCAAATATAACTGGTTTAGTTATCTTTGAGTTTATGTTAATCAGATTTTTGGGAAGTTGTTTGCCTTAATATAACTTCAGTTTATATGCTCCTGGGGATACAGAAAAATGAGCTTAAATATGCTTTATCTACCCAGATGTGTCATGGGCATGCTTTTACATTACTTTAACAAATTTTTTATTTTTCAACAATTTTTATAAATGGTGATAACTTTGGGAAAGATTACTTAAGTCATTTTGATTAACTGCAGTCTGGAATATATTTCATATCAATAGCAATTCTTTTTTAAACATGTAATTTTATTATTAAGGTGTTGTTCAGAATTCTGTATGGCAGGTAATGAGTACAATTCTTGGATAATGTCATCCCTTTCATTGCTTTTCCCCAGTATCCTCACACAGGTTTCATAGTTCATTTTTTACATAGTATATATTGAATACCATTATTACATTTGTTTACCATGCCTCCTCTTTGCCCCCCTCCCCATAAAAACACAACAGAAGCCCAGAACAAGCAAAAAACATCAATAATAACAACATCAAAAACATATGTCCACTTCCTAGATTTCATTTTAGCAGATAGTATTTTACACATTCAGAGGAGTTGTGTTTTTGGGTTCCTCTCCTAAGGATATCTTCCTTTAGTCTTCCTTTAGTATGTGAAAGCCTAGAGCTTTCAATAAGTTATCACGTTAAGATTTTAGATCTCGCTTCCACATATGAAAGAAAACATTTGTGATTTGTCACTTTGAGCTTGGCTTACCTCACTTAATGTGATTTGTTCTAGGTCAGTCTATTTTCCTATGAATTCCATATTCTTTCTAGTGGATGAGTAAAATTCCATTGTGTATATGTACTACATTTTTTTATATCCATTCATCTATTGTAGAGCATCTGGGCTGTTTCCATCACTTGACTATTAAGAAAAGCACTTTTCTTTTTTTTTTTTTTTTTGGGTCCAGTCGTGGGGCCTGAACTCTAGGCCTGGGCGCTGTCCCTCAGCTCTTCAGCTCAAGGCTAGCGCTCTACCACTTGAGCCACAGCACCACTTCCGGCTTTTTTCTTTTTGCTTATGTGGTGCTGAGGAATCGAACCCAGGGCCTTGAGCATGCAAGGCAAGCGCTCTACCACTGAGCCACCTTCCCAGCCCAAGAAAAGCACTTTTCTTTCTTCAGACTTTAAAAAATAATAGCTTTATTTAGATATAATTTATATAACAAAATTCATCCTTGTATACAATCATCTTTAATATATTCAGATTTATGCAACTATAGCTATTGATGTATTTTTAAAATAGCTAGTTGCTAGTAGCTTATACCTGTATATCCTCCTGACTAGGAGGTCAAAATCTGCATGGTAGAGGTCTGAGGCCAGCATAGGCTGAGTAGTTTGTGAGACTCCATTGAAAATAACTTGAACTATATCTCCACTTCTCTGTCAGTGATGGTCTGCTTGCCTATATTTGCAATTTGAACAACCTAATTTGGAGGGATTGGTAATAAATCAGCCTTAGAGAAATACATTAGAGTATCACCAGAGGTTTCATTTTTGTTTTTTGTTTTTGTTTTTTGGGTCTGTCATGAGGCTTGAACTCTGGGCCTGAGTGTTTCCCCTGAGCTCTTCAGCTCAAGACAAGTGCTCTACTACTTGAGCCACAGAGCCACTTCCGGTTTTCTGGTGGCTAATTGGATATTAGAGTGTCACAAATGTTCTTGTCTGGGCTGGCTTTGAACTCAGCCCTCAGCCTCCTGAGTAGGATTACAGGCATAAGCCACCTACACCCCGCACGGTTTTTCATTTTGGTACGTGTTCTTTAGGAAGCTTCAAGGTGTTTTACTTCATGATATGACAAATCCATTTTATATATCCATAATAAAACTCAGTGGAATTTAGCTACTGAGTTAATGTCTGATGAATGAGTTCAAATATTTAAGGAGTTATCTCACAAACACTATCAAGGTTATTTTTGGAAAGATCTGTGTATCAGGGGTGGGAAGCATCTGACCTATGAGCCATGCAAGGTCTGAAAAATCATTTTGTATATGATAGACCAGACATGTTATGTTCATATGCTTCTCGTCAGCTGACCGTGGCCATCTTCTAGTTTTTGTGTAGCCCATGAGTAATGTTAGAAATATCAAAGTGGGGCTGGGAAGGTGGCTCAGTGATAGAGCATTTGCCTTGCATGCCTGAGGCCCTGGGTTCGATACCTCAGCACCTACATAAGCAAAAAGAAAAAAGCCGGAAGTGGCGCTGTGGCTCAAGTGGTAGAGCGCTAGCCTTGAGCTGAAGAGCTGAGGGATAGCACCCAGGCCCAGAGTTCAGGCCCAATGACCGGACCCAAAAACAACCCAAAAAACCTAGAAATATCAAAGTGGCCCTTGGCAGAAAAAAAAAGGTTTCTTACTGTTATCAACGTAAATAAAATTGCATGTTGTATTAGTAGTAAATGGAGTTAATTTCAAGAATGGAATTGGGGTGTTGAAAATAATGAAGACTAATGTGAGGGCCTGTATAAAATAATCTTATACCTGAGTTTCCTTGAAGGAAACTGATAGAAACACACCCTGCTCCAAACTGCTTTACATAGTTTGCCAATGACTCATCTTGAGAAAGATGAAAACACAAAATGTTTGTGGAATGTATCAGATCTTCTGGTTTCATTTGTTAGCAGAATCATATTAAGACCCAGATCTTTTTCTTCTTATTCAAATTTCTGTCATACTTGTTCAGCTCTGTATTACAGCCAGTTTATGGCAGGAGCCTACCTTCTAGTTTCCCTGTGTCCTTCCTTTTGTAGCTGGGACTATAGATAACATACCACCATGCCTGATTTGTTGAGATGAGATCTTTTTTCCCCTTTTCTTTTTTTGCCTACATTTTTGTCTTTGGAGGAAGTTGAATTAGAAGACTTTAAAGAACTTTCTCAATTCACAGTTTTTGAAGTACTACATTATTGTTGCCAGATTACTTCTTTGAAAGTGCTTTTTGTTCATTAATTTTTGAGACGAGGTCTTACTGTTATTGCCCAAGTTAGTCTCAAACTCTGTAGGCTCAAGTGATCTGTCTTAGCCCTCTAAGATCTATTACTATAAGCACGTGCCTGGCTCATAACATTGCTTCTGTTGAAAAATCTTGATTCTTACAAGCTATTTAATAAAGTATGAGACTTCCATGGACTAGTTCCCTGTCGAAATACTACTTGTATGTCAAACTTTTATATTTTTCTCACGGTCTCTCCTGCCCAGGCTGGCTTTGAACCGAGATCCTCAGATCTCAGCCTCCTGAGTAGCTAGGATTATAGGCGTGAGCCACCAGCGCCCGGCTTAAACTTTTATATTTTTCTATACCATAAATGTCAAAGTTTATTTGGCATTATCAACACATAATTCAAGTTGAGATAACACAGTTCCTGCCAAATCATCTTTACGAGATGCTGGATTGCAAGAACGAACTTAATGCAATGAAACCATATACTCTGGCTTGGCCTTTTTGCTCAAGTCTGGCACTTTACCACTTGTACCACATTTCCACTTCTGATTTTTTGCTGCTTAATTGGAAATATGAGTCTCATAGATTCTTCTGCCTGGGCTAGCTTCAAACTACAGTCCTAAGATCTTGGTCTCCTGAGTAGCTAGAATTGCAAGCATGAGCCACCAGTGCTCTGCTTTAGTGGAAGGCCATGTTATTCATTCTTCCATCCATCCCTAAATTTACACTTATATAGTATTCTGGTTTTGAG